TCCTATCGGGCCATAGGTGCTTTGAAGCATATTTCTATCGGTCCAAATTAACCAACACACCAAGATGTACCTGCTGCGATCACTTGGATGATGTGGAACACACCTTTTTTGGGTGCCCGCAGTGGAGCGACGAACTATTGGCTCTCGAGTATCTGGTGAGGGGAGACTTTCAACGGATATGCACCGACATACTGGGGGCGCTGGACGGAAAAACCTCAGAACTTGTTTTTTCCTGTCTACAAGAGGATTTTAGCAGCAGCAGTAAAGTTCGAATCGGTTTAATAATTATTAGTTAATTAGTTAATTTCTTACTTATGTAAATTATTAAGTTATAGGAATCTCAAAATGAAAATTAAATTAAACGTCAAAGAAATCATCCTTCATTATATTTTTCATTTTCACTCCTGTCTCCCCTACTATTTCTAAACCATCAAAAGTGTAGTCGTTTCCTGTGTAAGATATCCGGTAATATTTCTTTGTAGACATTGTATTTACAATTATTTTAAAGGTAAGCATACAGAAACACAAATTTTGTTGTTTATGTTCCAAAATTTCAAAGAAAATATACCACTATACATAAATCAAAAATCTATAATATATACAAATTCGAACTTGATACTTTGAGAAAAGAAATATCAGCTAACCATAATAAATTCATCAAAATATACAAGCCCCTAATACAAAAAAAATATTAGAAGAAGTACCGATGAATGTAAGTAACAAATTTTATAAAAACTAAAAGAATTTCAGACTTCGATTGTCTTTAATTTTAGCTTACACAACGTTTCGGTCAGAAGTATCACTGACCATTATCAAGTGTGAACTAATCTAAACTACTGAGCTTGTATCATGGAGCTTATATTTATACTAGAGCCGAGCAATCACCCGTGAATTAGTTGAGTGCAATCAAAAGTCTGAGGTTATCTACTAAGAATACCTGCATTGAAACGTTTTATGAGTGGTTGCCATATTGCTGAAATTTCGATACTTGGATTACTAAAGATTTTATTATTGTAGAAATGAATACGGCCTCTTTAAATTTGCGCTTTTTCCAATGGGGTTCTTTGTGGACAACCCCTTCCGACCGACCATTTTATGTTGTGGTGCTTGGACAACACATGATATCAAATGCCCGACTTCATTGTTTCACCTCTTTGCGTATGTTTTTTTATGTTCGCGAAGTTGTACATGTAGAGGACGTTTTATCTCTCCAATATACGACTCACCGCACTCGCAAGGTACCTGGTAGATGCACTCTTTTTCTTGGTTTGATGATTCCGGTTTTGTTTTTGTTAGAACACTTCTTAGAGTAGTCCCAGACTTAAAAACAGTTTTAATTTAGTTTTAATTTTATACTACTTGGCTATTCGCCTGATCTGCGATGTTAATATATGGTTAATAATATGGAATCGTCAAGAGAGAGAGAAAGCATCCTCCTCAGGCTGGCGCACCAATGAGTCAGACTTGCAATTGGATATAATATTGTTTAGGGATTTTGCAGAGTAACGATTCTGTAGCAAATCGGTTTTAATTTTAATATTACTTCGTTCAGAATTCAGAGATTCTTGGTAACTGCATATAGCGATTGCTCCGAAATAGTTCGAAATTCTTTCAGGGTGCTTTGTGATTGGTTTGAAACGTTATTTATGCAGAAGTATTTTTAAGCAACTTAGTTTTTGATATACAGAGTCTAATTAGTCTGAATATATAGGTATAAAGACCCCTTCATCTTACTTATCCTCCAAACCCCTACAGGTCTAGTTTTAAATAAATAATCAATTTAAAAAGAAATAAATTTAAAAACCTATTAAAGAACTAAACTAAAACTAATGAATACACCCAATCACATACTGTAGAAAGCTTTGACTACTTAAAGGTTTATTATCCCATGACAAAATTTATGTTAGTTATACCTATAAAACTTTACCAAACTAACGAAGCAAATAACATATACCAAGATTTATATGAGAGTCTGAGAGTAGGTCACGGCGTCTGTATTACATAAGATCAGTAATTATCGTAAAACGTAACGTACATTAAACCAGACAAATCCTATAGACTTGCCTGTAACTACGATGTGCATGTGCAAGACCATTTCAAGAGTCGTAAAAGAGCAAATCACACAATGTTTATCTATTTCAGGCACGCAACTAGTGTAATCCAGGAGTTACATGTGATGGTCTTCTAGGGGGGATAACTGAAAGCGCAACACGCAAAATTGCATTTATTTTACGAATCTGATGCCTACTTCAGTTAAGGTACTTAAGTAAAGAAATATTTCTCTAAGATAACCCTAAAACTACTTCTTCTTATATTACGAAATCATTTCGTTTATCCAAGTTCATATTGTCCCAAAGAGTTAAACGAAACTTAAAATGCTAATTTAAGTTGGAATGTTTATACCCATAAAAATACAAAATCTACCACAAACACTTTATATTTTAATGGTGGATCAGTATTTCGCTAATCATAATAGCAATTGAGGAGCAAACTTACCTACTAAATGCATTTTGTCAATTTTTTAAGATTTTCAACCAAAAATGGTCTTGCAAACTACATACACAGAGTTTATAATGCCTGAAACGACGTGTTAAATACATTTTATCCCATTCGAATTAAATGGCGAAAATACCTTAGACTTTCTATGTACTGTACGTCCATTGGCGGTAGACAAACAAACAGAAGTATGTCCTTGTGTGCTGTGGACATACTGCTGTTTGTTTGTCATTGCCAAATGAATGGTTTTCTTTTTGTAATAAAACTTTTCTATTTTTTTGAATAATATTAGTTAAAATAATGAATGGAACTACGACTGGGGACTATGTAGTTAGGGATACAGACCATGGTAGCAGAAAAATAAAGAGAAATTTCACTCCTAAAGGACAGTCAACAGTTTTTTTCTAATTTTTTCAGATATCATCAAAACTAGATTTTTCACATGTAGGTGTACTATTTTTATGATTTTTTATCCATTTTTCAAGTATACTAGTTCGGTAAGTTTCTTACAAAATGCGTGGCAGTTTTTTCGTTTTCTAAAATTCTAAAAAATTGTTAAAATGCATCTGAAAGTCTGCTCTTCAATTATTGATTAAAATCAACAGATGCATGAAATCAATTTGAATTATCAGCTGCTCTCTTGATATGCTCATGATATGGGTCATTTTTCCCTTTAGCTTTGTCTCTCCCTAGACACATTGTCGACAATGGCCATCCTAAAAGTCAACCACCACAAATAATTGTCAATTTTACAAATATAGAGCTGTTCGTGAACAAACGGCGAAAGAAGCAGCCACCAAACTGCAGAAAACCAGGTATTACGTCCAAAACTGGATAAATAACTGGAGAAGTGAAATTATAAACAATGTTGGGTAAGTCCGCCCACATTAATATTGCATATCGTGAAATAGAAGTTCTTCCAATAAAGATTCCTTCCAATAAAGATGAAATTAAATGCATCGCAGGGAAACACTACATGTGAGTAAAACTTCGTAATGCGGTTAATGTTTTTAAGAAATGGCTAAAAAAACTTAGACGTAGATAGACAAACAATTATATGCAAGTATTTAGTTTTAGGAGTTTACGAAAGAACACAATTGATGGTTGGTCATATCTGAGCAGTATTAAATGGCATACAGCTCTTTTTTGTGGTCCTGATGATGAAGATGATGATTATGGAACAACATCGGATAAAATCGAATTCGGCAAAAACAGTAGGTCGCGTGTACTTGTGAACACTGATGACACGCATCACAAGTACATGCGAGAGGTCACCAACGCTCTATATGGAGCATTGTATAGAAACAAAAAATCGGATAAATGAGTGTTCTGATAAGTGTTATAGTTTTTAAAAACAATCACGTTATATAATAATATATTTTATTTTGCGTGGCATTCAATAAGTTTTGTAATTTTCCTACGTTATTTGGTTTCAATAAAATGTCATTTATTTAAGTATTTTATAAGAAAGTATTGATATTTATGCAGTGGGCTATAGATCCAGACTTAAAAACGTAACAGTTAACGCCTAAAGCAAACTTTCAATCAGACATCCATAAATATTTCTGTCGCTATAAATTAAAAAAAAAATAAACATAATTATTAATCAATTAAAAACATATTATGTTTAAAAAATAAAGACGGTATAATACATGTTGTCCTTGACAACTTTTCGGAATTTGAATTATGTACAGCTTCGATTACACTCTCACCAATATGAACAAATGTCCAGCTCTCGGTCCAGCTATTAGATTCTTTGTTCCTACTACTCTAGTGGCGGAAATTTAACTGTAATGCTCGGTAGGCTCTGACTCGGTTGACTAGATCTTGCCACGCCCACTCGGTGCCCACTGAGCGAGTATATAAACGCTCAACTTGTAGATTGTATTTTAGTTTATAATCATCTGCTGATGATGCTAACATGGTTAGCGAAACACGCGTCACGTGAACACGTGTCGATACACGTGTAAAAGTAAAAGTGTTTTGGTGTATTGTGGTGATTTAGTGTTTTTATTTTGCTGTGTAACACCAAAGGTTCCAACCCTCAACTGTAATTTGTCATTTGTTTGAGAAAAAAATAAATCTATGATATAAACTTAAATTAGTTTTTACAATATCAATTTCAAAGTTCAAAATCAATGGCAAGAAGGCCTTCAGTTATGTGTGAATGTTTTTAGATATTTTTTTAATAATTTCAATCTTTAATAAATAAACTTCTTCAAAGGTCCCCTTATAGAAGTTTGTTAAATTAATCTTACAGAAGCTCCCCGTCTTCTATTATCTCTACCATGGTACTATTATCAAACACAATCTTCTATTATTCTTCTTATATTAATGGATAAACATCGATTCCTAAAGCTATAGCTAACTCAAAACATTTTTGGAGAAAGCTAATGAAACTATTATATTTTGTCAAATTTCACAAGTTTATTTGTTTTCCTTCCAACTCATACTCACTGTATTTAAGAATTAATTTAAAATCCATTTAGAGACAAAACAATATAGCACTAAGTATGTGCATTTAAAAATATATTAGAAGGTATTTGTAAAAACAATTACAAAATGCCAACGTTGATATTATTCATTACGAATAAGCTTATTATTAATACATGACTGTACATTTTGATAGATTAAAATAACTAGTACACTTTATTGTTACAACATACAAACTTGTCTAACAAAGTTATAACAAACTAATATTAAACTTTATAATATGTTTTCGTAGCAATTTAGTCAGGGTTATTTAAAACTGGACATAACACTAAATAATCTTGCATGGCTCAGATGCGTCCAGCAGATGCGGAAATCGTTTGTCTAAACACATCTTAAATCTGCATAAAATCTACTAAATGTTGGGCCGGTTCTGTTACTGAATAAATAAACTGTGTTATACACGTGCATTTGAAAAGTGGGTTGTAGTTGTGTTATGTCAGATCGTTACTAATTCAATGTGAATTATTGGCTGAAAGGAGTATTTTAAGACACACTAAAACCGCATGGAACATTTATATGGAATATCAATACAGCGAATTCGTTTATTGGTTCCACCATAATTAGAAAGCTCTTGAGATACTTCCATTTTCATTATTTCCTAAAACAAAATATATTTAAGACATTTTAGTTGGCAATTTTATTATCCTCAACAGTTATCGGTCAATAGTATAATATAAATTATAATGGCATTTATACATAGGTACAAGTATATCGGATGCGTCTCAAAAGCGGCTCACACCTTTTTTATTTTTACAGATAAAAAAACGAAATTTGGTATGTTTGGTTTTTATATGACATAAATTAGGATTGACTGACGTATTCAATTGTTTTTTACAACTTCTGATTTTTAAATGGCACCCTCGATATATTTCTACTTTATTCGATGCAAAATGACACTCTGAATAGAATGACATGTCATCTGTCAATTTTTGACATTTTCGCATATGGTTTATTTGAAATTGTAACATGCGGTTCATAACAAAAATTTGACTCGACATAACAAGTGTGTGATACCAAATTATTCGTAAAAAATGCTATTTCCAAATATGCTAATGAGCCATCCTTGTTCCATTTAAAAAATATATTATATATTATTAAAAATACGATTTGGGCATCTTTTAATCGGCCAGCACAAGAGACTTGACGACTTCATAAGGACTTGATTAAAAAATAGTGTTTTTAACACAGCCATGGTTCTCTGGATTGAAATTCAAAATACGATTTTTCTCTAAGCGAAAATGTCAAAAGTGGACTATATTAAGACTAATTATATTAGTTAATAATAGTGGGTTCTCATATAATTTGTCAAAGAGAACAGCACACAGCAAACAGCACGAGCAAACAGCAAAGAGAACAGCACACAGAGTTACAGCAAACAGAACCGTAACAAGAATAAAACATTTCCAAAACAATCCGACCATTCCAGATTAAAATAACAAAGTAGAATAGGATACAATCAGGTCTCTATTTGTATTAGATTTCTAAATTGTATACCATTTACAGCCTTAAAATAAAGACTCTTTAACACAACACATGTATAAAAGTATTCGAGTAAATCAAAGGTATACTCTTGTCCCAAGCGCCATATAGACAAGGCTTCATATCGGATCGACATTTCTAGCTTTGGGTGCCGGTTTTTATATGTACGAAGAGTACAGTCAATACGCGCTCAGGACAATAAGATGTACCGAATAAACAAGAAATAGCATGTAGTTTCCCAAGCGCATGATATAGAGCGTCAGATTCAGTGGTTTTCTAAATGTTTATGTAATAAACACTTCGCATTTTTCTCTCCCCGACTTATAAGATCGCTATATCAATTCACTCGTATAAATGAAAATACAGAGGAAAGACTTCTCTTGCCAATACGTTATGTCGATGTTCTCGTATTTTGATTCATGAAGTTTAGATTCCCATACTCTCAAATTCAAGAGAGTTTTACTTCTCGGATTAAGAAAAATTACCATCATCAGCAACTTATATTCTTCCATTTTGAACTAGACTCATTTGTGACAGCAGTTCTTACTGCCAGGTAACAACTCTATATACTCACACGTTGTAGCAGATTTTTGAATGCTGGAATTTTGCCGGTCATGCATAAACTTGCTCTTTCTAAGAGTACGTCTGTTTAACTACGACTATTTAAAAATATAGACTTTAGGTCAATAAAAACATTTTATAGACTCTAAGTCTAAAAGGTAGAAGCTTCCAGAGACACTACAAACTTTAAGCTCTGACCAGAGCCAAAGGAGTTACAGGGATAAATAATCAAATTATTCTATTTCACCATCGTTTTCAGTTATGAAAATTGAAATCCACGATGCTATAAGGACTGTCCGACTCAAATTTATTTGTACTCTGGATATGCAGGTAATGTCTTTATTCTCTATAGTATTTAGGTAAAATTAAACCAGCCCCCCCCCCCCAACTAATGATAATAGGTGGTGGATTGATTGCTACCTATGCTATTTAAAAACTAGCAGTTTTTAACAGCATTTGTGTTTTGGTAGTTAGTTCTACATTCTTAATTCATCCATTTGTTATATATGATTAACAAAAATTAACATATTTCAAAACTAAAATAATATTATACATTATTACTAAATATATGTCTATACAAAAGCATGAAGTAATCACATTTGAGATGTATATAAATGTACATTGAAACGTGAAACTTGTATCAATACCGAGAACAACACATACGCATTTCTTCAATCCAATGACCAACATTAATTGTGCAATATTTACTTACACTCCCATATTCATAATGTAAACCAATACAATAATTAGTAGTGCCTCTTACTATTAAAAGTAGATCCACACCTTATAAACACATACCTAATATTCATTTTCTACAGCTATTTTTATGACTCAACTACGAACTCAACAGTAACATTATCTCTATAAAATTTGCAAGAATCTATTTTGACCTAAATAAATAATTCTATTAATTCCATGAAAGACTGTTCTCAATGCCCCGACTTGTTCGATCGCCATTGTAATAAGCATCTTGCTATCTATCCTAGACTATTGGAAAAAGTGAGAGCGCCACCTGTAGATGTGTAACATAGTTGACATTTATCGTTATTGCTACTTTTTTTAATGCAAGTTGATGGCATAGCACTTAAAAAATAGGTTAATAAAAAAAATAAAGATGTTCCCCCATTACTTAAGATAGAGTTCGTGTCTACTAAGACAGTTAGGTGCTTGTTAAAACTAGACATACATATTTGGAAAACGTAATAATTGTTCAGTAGACTTTTATGGCATAAATTAAAATAACAGTACAATAGGCTAATACGTTTATTCGCGGAATAATATAAAATGGTATGCAAATAATTCTAAACGCTACTACTAAGCGGTATTATAACCTTGATAGATTCATCAGTTCCACGTTCGATTATGATAGTTTTAAATGCAACAGGTATGAAGTGTAAAAAAATTACTGCAATAATATCTATTTAAAGAATAGCCTTGAAGATTTTCCCATTTTTATAGTTAAATATATAAAAATCGAAAAAAATAGACAAAATGCGGCTATGAATAGCGATGGGAACTATCGAATGAATTAGACTATCGAATGGTTAATGAATGAATGATTTCAACTATCGAATAGTTTTATTCGAATAAAATCATTCATTCATTTGTATACTAAAGCATATGTGACAACCTCGCCGTGCGACTAAATGGTTATCGTTGAGCCACGACTATCGAATGCTTTTGATAAATGAAATTTAGTATTCGTTTGATTTTTGTATGCGTCAGTGCATTATTAGTTCTTCCAAATTTTCATAACTTCGCCGTATAAATACTGTGCTATTTTTGCGTTTATTAAAATAGTTAAAATACTAAAATAGTAGTTATTTTTTAATTTTATTTATTGACGATTGTGTGCATGTACAGGTGGTCAAAATTTTTCCGAAAATTTGTGTGGTTTTCCGTAGTCCGATCTTTCAATTATTTAATTTTATATGGTATATGGCTATTTTTTAATGAGATGAGATGAACTTACAATTAATTTTAAAAATACATATTTGTATTTTAGATGTTTTAATAATATGAATTAGTTGAACTTAATAATCATATTTAAGTAATGTAGTTAAGTAAATGGTTATCGAACTCAAACTATGGGGTGAGAAAATTAAAATAAAAGTTTTACACGTGCCAATTTAAAAAAAAAAGTTAACGATGTTTGTATTTTGTTTATGCTAATTCTCTTACATGTACTATTTTGCGAAGAAATATTTCATTTATTTTTTAAAGTAAATGCCAGTAAAAGTAAATATAATTTTTAAATAGTAATATAAAGCACCTAATATAAATAATTTTGATTTCTAATTTTTTATTTATATTTTCCTTCCATTACACTGAATGCTTAGAAAATTAATAAATGTTTATATTTCATGATTTTAAAATTTGTTCTTAATATAACAAATTAGTTCTGTAATTATTATTATTTAATAAACCAACGTTGCCACACACAAAAAATTTAGAGACTATATTATTTTTAAATAGGATCTAATATAAATAATTTTGACATCTAATTTTTTGTTTATATTTTGCTACTACTTAAAAAAAATATTTATATTAAATGATTTTAAATTTTGTTGGTAATGGGTATAACAAATTATTACTGTTATTATTATTTATTAAACCAGTCTTTGCTTAAAAACATTAAAAATCATTTTCCTACATCCAAAATAACAAGTATTATTGCAGTGTAACAACAGAATATTAATAAAAAAAAATGCAGAATATATAGACATACTAACCCTACTAACTAAAGCCAAACAATAATATTCTTTGCCAATATCAACTAATACCAAAATATGGCAACAGCGCCCTTCATAATGTATTTTCTGTGTAAATACTAGCACCTCAATAAAAAAAATAATGTGTCCTTATTTATATCTGACTCCGCAAAAAATTAAAGATGCCGGCTTCTTTCATAGCATTGCCACCGACCGCTGTCGGGTTTCTCGGAAAGAAACCTACGTCGCCGGGCGACAACTAAAATTCAGTTAATATTTTATTATAATCGATCCTGACGAATAAATGAATTTCATAAATGAATGAATTTTATAAATGAATGGTTTTTGCTGCCGAATTACTAGAATACAATATTTCAAGGCAGATGACGGATCTATTCGATAATGTTTATTCGAATAGTTTTCAACGAATGTTTTCTTACTAACTATCGAATTATTCGAATGAATTGCAACTATCGAATGTTTCGATAGTATTCATTCGATAGTTCCCACTACTAGCTATGAACATTTGGAAAAATGTTTAGAACAGTATTATTTCTAAGTTCTAAGATGGATGTCTTCCTTTGATGGATTTCTTGCCTATATTTATGGTCTAAATATAGTATACGATTATGTATGAGCCCATCATTTAATAAGAACATAAAACAAAATTTTTAAAAAAACCCAGGAGGCTTCCACTCGAGATGAAGTATATATTTTAAACTGTATCATATTCAAGTACCAATTTCCTGAATTGCCTGATAAGTTGCATTAGGTTAGTATAGATAACCCAACAGGTAGATTCTCAACTTTTTTATTAAATGGCTGCAGTTTACTATAGAAGCTTTTC